ATAGAGCAACCAACAATGGCTACTTCTGCTTCTTCCCTTACAATTGCGTCGTCTTTCTCCGAACCACGGACTCAGATCCATTCCTCGAAGCGCTCGAATCTTACTCTTTGTTCAGTCCCTTACAAGGCCGGTTCAAGGAGCAGGAATAGAAGATTGGGACTCGTTGTCAGTTCTGTTACGGCGCCCAATGTTGAGCTCCGTACTGGACCCGATGATCTCATTTCTTCCCTCCTCACTAAGGTCTGTATCTCTCCTCTCGCCGGAACTTAGCTTTATCTTCCACCGAATATCCCCTAAGTGAAATCATAGCAAAATCCAATAGAGTTTTTTATGATGATGGAGTTGGTTTGGTGTGGATTAGGTTGCGAACAGCGACGGAGGTGTGACGCTGAGCCCAGAGCAACACAAGGAAGTTGCACAAGTAGCTAGAGAGCTTCAGAAGTACTGTGTGAGCGAGCCTGTTAAATGTCCTCTCATTTTCGGAGGTATGTAAGAACTAAGATGCTAGCTGCGATTGCTTCTTCATTCATCAAAACTTGTGAAAACTCGTGAATTCTGTTTGCAGATTGGGATGTGGTGTACTGTTCTAGACCGACCTCTCCCGGTGGAGGCTACAGAAGCGTGATAGGCCGACTCTTCTTCAGAACGAAAGAGATGATACAGGGCATTGATTCTCCCGATATCGTGAGGAACAGAGTTTCCTTCACTGCTTTAGGTTTTCTTGATGGAGATGTCTCCTTGACAGGTGAGTTGCAGAACCCATATAGAGATATCTGGTCAAACCCAGTATGATCTTTTTCGGTGTTTAATGTTCGACCTGTGTGTAGGGAAGCTGAAAGTGTTGGACAGTGAGTGGGTTCAGGTGATATTCGAGCCTCCGGAACTGAAGGTAGGATCTTTGGAGTTTAAATACGGGTTCGAAAGCGAAGTGAAGCTTCGGATCACTTACATTGATGAGAAACTTAGGTTGGGATTAGGCTCTAGAGGATCATTGTTCGTCTTTAGGAGGCGTCAATAATACATTGTATATATACTTCCATGTCTCCTCTCTCTTGTCCGTGTGTTTTCCCCCTCGTGCATCATCAATCAATGCAATTCACTACGGAAAAAAAAGAACAAACAACATATGGGGGCACCTGTGAGAGTGTTAAGTGTTTTAGTGGAACTTTGTTGTAATGTAAACTTCATTTTCAAGAGTGTCTCACTTCAGATGAGTTGTCGAGAGAACTAAGCAGCGTTAATGTTCAATATCAAAACCTCTCACGAAAATCTGAAACACTCGGAAAAACACCATCTACAGATTCAGAGCTGCCACCTGTGAGGAACAAAGCATACATGAGTAATTCCTGAAGAATCGATAAAGCTCTCAATACATATTTACTCTACTATATAGAGATGTGAATGATGATTGCGATGAAGTTTCGTTTTATTACCACAAGTCTGGATAATTTCATTACATCTAAACACG